AATTTTGACATTTATTCCAGTTTGCAACAATGGGAGTAATTGAAAAAAGCTGGAACTCCCAACACTGATTCACCGCCATTAACAGTTCACTGTGCCAGAGCCCAGTGGCCGAGGGTTCGATTCCTAGATTCATCCTTATCATGGTTATTGCTATATGTTACTGTGACGTCCTTTCAAAGTGACGTACACCAAACTCACTCACTCGGATATACAGCAGGTTAACGTCACTGATCATTAAATACATTCATAGAAAACTGACTTTTTGCAAATAGTTATGGGGACTTACAGTACCTATGTGTCCTGCATGACTCCCCAGCAGCATTTATGTCAAAACTTTGGCTACCAGTAGCTGTACCGTATACTAGCCAATATTAAAAAAGACAATACAATCTAAGTTCTAAAACTCAAGTCAATATTACTTACCTTGATCGAGAATGGATTTACGTGTTACTATCAAGAAACACAAATTTTACGCTACTTTAACCACCCGAGTGGCACCACCATCAATAATCCCAGTTGATGATAATATGTAACTTATTTAAAATGCATATCATCTATTCAAAATTTATCTATTAGTTCTACTTCTCTTAAAAAAACAAGAATTAAAGGAGAACTGACATTATTAAAAAGATCCTTTAAAGACGATGAATGATAATGTTTATCCCTTGTGGGAGAAAAATTTACACAGTCAAGCAAAACATGCTTGACTGTTATTCTCTCATCACAAGGGATGCAGAATGGAGGATCTTCAGCTTTTAACAAATATTCGAGTGCATAACGAGAATGGCCAATACCACATTGTTGCATAATGACCTCTTCAAATCTGGACTGACAACCCAAGTAAGTGTAACTGATGGTTTGTTTTATTGCTCGTAGCTTATTTACACCTACTTGGGTGTCCCACTTCTTTTGCATTTGATCTCGGATGTAACATCTAATAACAGGTTTAATATCACTGTATGTGATAAGAAGTGGTGTCACAGATTTGTTGAGTGCTGCCTTTGCAGCAGCATCACCCATTGTGTTACCCACTATGCCGAGATTGCGTGGCAACAAACAGAAGACAATGTCGTATTGGCCAGTGGCAAGATCATTGTACATTTGCAATATATCCAAGATGAATGGATGACCCGAAGACATGTTTTTAATTGCCTGAAGACAGGACAGTGAATCAGAAAATATTATAAATTGTTTGTGGATGGACTGCTGTTGAATGTATTCCAAAGCTGTGAGTATTGACTTAGATTCGGCTGGGAATATAGAACTGTTGTCTGGTAATCGGGAAGATATAGTTTTTGATCCAATGACAGTGGTACTCGACACACTCTCACCATCCTTGGATATGTCAGTGAAAATAGAACGATGAGAGTCATATTTGCTCCTTAACTGTATGTAATCCTGTTGATATTGTAAGTCCTTAGTTTCTGATTTTTTGTTATTAGCAAAAGTTAGGTCCACTGTCGGTCGAACCAACTGCCATGGTGGAGTTGATAAAAGTATGTATGGAGATACAGTATCCAGTTCTATACTGGCAACTGTATTATGGGATTTCATCCGAATGCCAAGAGGTGGAATATGTTTGGGTTTCTTCTGAAACAGTTCTTCATATTGTGGATGAAAAACTGTATCATAAGCAGGATTTGATAGATTTGAACGTAGTTTTGTAATATACTGAAGAGACAATTTAATGCGGCGATGGTGAAGAGAAGGCTCCTCAGCTTCGACATAAAGGCTATCAATTGGAGATGTCCTAAATGCGCCAAGACAGAGTCTCAGGCCTTTATGGTGAACGGTATCTATTTTTCCAGATTACTCTTACAAGCTCTACCATATACAATCGAGACATAATCTAATTTTGAGCGAATAAGTGATCTGTATAAGTGGAGGAAGATTGTCTGTTCCCCTCCCCACTTAGAATTTGATACGACTTTCAATAAATCTAAAGCCTTCAGGCATTTATTGTTATGCGACAAATAGGTCAAATGATGGTAAAAAACAAGTCCCAAAAAGTTGGCCTCCTCAACAACCTTAATTGGGAGTACCGTCAAGAAACAATTCAGGATCTTTATGGGGGTTAGAACTTCGACAAAAATGAATACAATTTGTCTTTGATTTTGAAAATTTGAAACCATTTTTTTTCACACCAATTTTGAATTTTATTTAGCTGCAATTGTCTTTCAATAGTGCGCATATTTTTGCCACGACACGAAATGTTAAAATCATCAACAAATAATGACCCATCAACTGAGTCATTAATACAGTTGCCAAACTGTTAATCTTAATACTAAACAAAGTGACCTACAATATACTGCCCTGTGGTAGACCCTGATCCTTAATATAATGATCAGACAGGGTAGAGCCTGTCAGTTAAAAACTGATATACAAATTGAGGCAAACGGCCTCTCAAACCAAAATCATGTAAATCATTTAAAATACCATGTTTCCATGTGGTATCATATGCCTTTTCCAAGTCCAAAAAGATTGATACCGCATGCTGTTTATTTACAATGGCATTTTTTATAAATCAATCCAAACGTACTAAATGATTGATAGTACTAATGGTTCTGTTTTTCCGGAAACCGAATTGAATGTTAGTGATTGAATTGTTTGTTTCCAAGTACCAAACCAATCTATTGTTTACCATACGTTCCATGGATTTACAGACACAGCTAGTTAATGATATAGGTCAATAATTTGAAGGACCTGAATGATCCCGGCCAGGCTGTGGTATAGTGATGACAATGGCATTACGCCAAGAGGATGGAAAATTCCCTGAAGTCCAAATCTGATAAAAAAAATGTCTAAGAGTGTCTCAAGACATGACTGAGGCAAATGCTTCAGGAGCTGATAGTGTATATTGTCATCTCCTGTCGCAGTATATAAGCTTGGCCAAGGGCAGTATTTAGCTCATGGAGTGAAAACACTTCATTATAATCTTCACCATTGTCTGAGGTAAAATTAAATCACTGTCAAGGTCAAAAGTGATAACTCAAGATCAAGGCAACAGTGAAGTTCATTCATAAAGTATTTTTTCCATTATCACTAAAATGCCTATTTCTGGAGATATTTGTGAAGTATTATGCATGCAGTATTATATGTTATGTTATTTGAATACTCATGTATGAGCAGTGGTAACAAATCACAGTCACCTAATATCAATGAGTATCATAAGCCATGTTTTCATTTTTGCATATAATTCTATCTAGGGCCTTCATAAGTGGTAAAAGTGATATGAAGCCCTTTACAATTGTTTTTGAAATACATGTAGTCGCAGCTGATATTGAAGGTCAAATTGACTTTCAATGTCTTTCAGTAAAAATGTTCACAGTCACCCTCAGAATGAAGCATATTGTGTTTCAAACTTAATGAAGTAATGGTATGTCTAGATATAACAAGTACTTGTACCGTTACAAATAATACTATTATCATCTAACCAGGACCAAAGGCCCAAGTGAGCACACAGTCGATGACTTTATACTTTCACTCAGAACAAACTGCAAGTCCGAAGACGAAATTTATGGATATCATCATACATGTATTAGAACTGATGTTTGTTCATTAAACAACTTAACATGTTAAAGGAATTATAGATGAAAAGGAAAAATTGTCTTCTCCTAAAGTACATGCCCATAGATCTTAACTTTAAGGGGATATTTACAACAAAAATAACACAGAATATTACTACAGCTATCTGATATGCCCAGGCTAGCATTATTTACTAGAATTACACCTCGAAAAATCGCATCTGGATACCTGCCGGATACCTTCCGGATACCTTCAGGAATATGAAATTTTAGTAAGTTTCAAATATATTTTTAGGTGTTTCACACTTAATTGGACAAAATGCACCACCCAAATTGTGACATATTTTTTGAAACGCAGAATGAGGTATCCGTTGGGGTATCCGGTGCCGGATTCTTTGACACTCAGATTGAGGTATTCGGTGCCGAATACCCGGATTCCAGGATACATGCTTTCCAGTGAGGTGTCCAATGCCGGATACCACGGAAGGAATCCGGATACCGGAAACTGTATTTTGTTTGCTGTGTTATTTTTAGACACATTTATAACTAAATTTAATATACAAAAGACTTTATTTGGAGTTAATTTCGTCTTATGTCATGATCACAACATGTCAAACAATAAACATAAATATGAGGCATATCTCATGAAACTATATTCGTCCGATTCATATTTTGAAAACAATTGTCAAGATTTTCATCATTGCAAAACATCTAGACCTACCAATGACGTAATTTAAAGCATATATTCCAATAATCTTTCAAACATTTGGATATAGATGGACATGTGGACAGCTTACGGCACATTTTCGACAGAACAATGCAACAGAATCTAGAAACCCCAAAGCATTCTTGTACAATCAAAAGCAATCTAAACTATTTTGTAATATTCTTAGAAAATAGTTCATTGAGTGTTTGTTATGGCGATAGCTTTCCGCTTTTGTTACCAGAAATGAAAGTTTACAGATTAAGGGCATACATCATTGATGAGTAATTCATAAGGCTTGTCAACACCACGTCTTGAATGTCAGAGTCACTAATGCGTATCTATCTTAAGTTAGTCAGAAGCATAGTGTTTTTGACCCGCTGCGATAGACAGGTATTTTCTTAACCTGGGAAAAGAAGTCTTAATATTTAAAAAAAATCCTTTTCTCATTCAGTTTACAAGAGCTATGTAATGATTAAAAAGGCATGGTAAGCCCCGCTATTTTAAGCATTTGTTCTTGAAAGGTGAGAAACCCTAGGATTGACTTCTTATCTTATTTTTTAATTGCGAACCAATTGTGCACCATTGCGGTGAGATGGCTGTCATCAAATTTGTTGACTGAATATATTTAAGGAGGGATGCGCGCGTACAAAGCGAGGGCATTTTTATTAAACAATGGTGATGTGTCTGCTTCCAGTTTTGTATGCAAATAACAAGCTGGCAGATAATCGTGAATAGGACTAACATTATGATTTGACTATTTATATTTCTAGCATGTGGCTCTGGCTATTATGGAACCAACTGTGACCAACGCTGTAATACCCGTAACTGCAAATTCAGCTCGAACTGTGATGTGGTACAAGGGCAGTGTGTTGGTGGTTGTGCGGCTGGATATCAAGGAACAGACTGTACTCAATTGCAAGGTAATAGTCAAAACACCATGTTACTAACTACGAGTCATACGATTCTTGCGCTCTTGCATTATCTTGCTGGAAGGTGTGCATATCCTGCCAATATGTTATTCCTGTAGTAAAGGGTATTAACTCTTGAGCTCTGTTCGATGGTTATGACTGATGCCGCTCCACACCATGACGGCCCCCCCGCCCCCAATGATCTGTCTGTACAACGCAGTCATTGTGGTAACGTTCTCCACGTCGACGCCACACTCGCAGTCGTCCTTCAGCATTCCGTAAATGAAAACGGGACTCAGAGGACAGCACACCATGCCACTGCCGCAATCTCCAATGACGATGCCTTTTGGCCCAACGCAGACGTTCATTTCGATGTCGATCAGTGAGTATGGGTCCAACATATGGACGTCGAGCATGTAGCCCTGCTGAGCGGAGACGTCGACGTACGGTGTCATGATCAGCGCTGATCAGTTCCGTCGGCCTTCCATGTACGGTTGCTGCAGTCCTGGTAGCCGGAAGTGTACGATCACGAAGATGCCGACGAACAGTATGGCGATCCTGACGTGATGTAGTTGCACGACGTTGACCCGGACGTGGTCGATGTCTGGTGGTTCTTGTCTGCTGGTATCTGCTCATTAGCCTGAGGACTGTTGAATGATGGCATTGAAAACGTTGTGCAAAGACTCTACTTGACGTACCAACTTGAAGCATGCCCAAGGCACGTTCACGCTGTTTATCTTGGCATTTCTTGTGTCAGTACCCTTTACGTCTGCAGCAACAAGTCATGTGGCTTTTAAAAGTCTGTCTTTTATAGCCCTATTCTGCATGCTTCCCGTGAAACAAAACACGTTTTCCATGATGTGCACGCAGTTTTTTGGCGATTTCGCTCACAACAAATTTAGGAATGTGTTTTGACGAGCTGTTCTTCTTCATGCTTCGTCCAGAACGTTGTAAATTACTCATTCACTTATATATTGTCATATGGCTTGAGCCCGGATAAAAATATACATCCATTTTCATGGTGGTGCATTTTCAATGCTGTTCAGTATATTTGGGCAATCACGAAGGACAATATCAATAAGAAAATCTCAAAAACTATATGCGTTAGAGAAGCGGGGGTGGTAAGATATTGAGACAGTATGACTCATAATTGTCTAACATCCTTGATAGGCAGTACGCCTCGCCGCAATGAAGCATGCATTAGGAAAAGAGTTGGTCTGACAAAATATTGAACAGTTTGCTGTTTTGTAGCTTTAAGCAAGCAGTGTTTGTTGGGCGAACTTATCTCTTGGTCTATGAATTAATACAACTATAATTTACAATGTTCTCACTCTCAAAGATATCTGGTAAAACTATATATCTCTACATTATTAATACAAATATAAATCTCAAATAGTTTTGCATCACGTTTACAAATATTTCATATAATGACTGTAAATATGAACGTTGTTTGCCAGCACTAGAGATCACCACGTCGTTGGTGTTCTTGAATTATTTTCCATTTTCTTTGATTTGTGATGTGATGGTTTGTTTGTTTGTTGTTTAACGCCGCACTCAGCAATATTCCAGCTATATGTCGGCTGTTTGTAAATAATCGAGTCTGAACCAGACAATCCAGTGATTGACATCATGAGCATAGTGTCACGCAAATGGGATCGATGACATGCATCAACCAAGTCAGCGAGCCTGACCACCCGATCCCGAAAGTCGCCTTTTACGACAAGCACAGTATCAGTCGCGTTCAGAGTGCTTTTTGAAATAATTTTGCCAATTGATCAAGGATACCACCACCATTTCTGTTACTAGTATAGTCACGTAAGCTGCTCCTGACTATACTATTAGTTATGGTGTCTTTAGTGGCCGTATACCGTGTATATTAGGTTAGCAGAAAAATATTGGGCGAGGCGTTAGCTTTATATGTTTTTGGTAACCTAATATGACAGCGTATACGGCCACTACAGACACCATAACGAATTTACTATGCAGAAAATGTTACACTATTTGGTACCTTCATCGCACATGTCATGTCAAAGTGAAAACTTGACACTTACAATCGGCATAAATGACAGGGCTAGTACATATTAACGATACAACGCTCTAATGTAAACACAAATCTGTGGTCCGTTTGTCCCCAATGACGGGCTGCTGTATATTATATTGCTATGTGACGTCATAAGCGTCACATTTCTTGCATGTGACGTCATTCTATATATTGTTCTATGACGTTGCTATTTCTAAATCAGTGACCTCCGTTGTAAGTTTTGTTTCTCTATAATTTCTAGTGATAAAGTGAAGAACGTAGTTTCTTTAAAAAATGAATGTCTTTGCACATCGCAATTAATTATAGTAGAATACAAATATGTGAAATATGTGAAGTGGGTGTTGAAAATTCCAAGATGGCTGTCAGAGGCGATAAACGGTCTCACATTATGTCAGTAACAACCATATTGGATTTTTACTGACGGTATACAGGTTTACATGGGGTTAGTAGTTCTGCTCTCTGATAGGTCAATCTCACTTTGAGGCATAATAAATGTTACTATACATTGTTATCATTATAGCCAAATATTTATATGTCCTAAAATCTTTGATAGTCATTGATTGTTAATACACCAGTCAAGGCCTCAGTTAAAGCTTTGAACTTCTTTATGGTAGAGATGTGAATTACATTTCTAAACTTGACGCATCAGTGACAAAAATGATATCCAATGCAATACCCTGCTTTGACTTGTACCAGATGTTCCCGTATTTTTTCAGGTGAACATTTGACTTGCCTTTGCATATGTTTGTGACGGGTGCCACTAGTGGGGCAAAATATGCTCACCTTTTCGAGAACACCTGGTTTCATTACTATTTGATAGTGATTCATAAACATTTGTTCAAGATATGGTCGGAATCGTCCACTCGACTCTGCTTTTCGCAGAGATTTCTATTGGATATGTAAAGGGTTTTGTCGCACTATTAAGATAATGGAAGGTATACAACAGATATCATTTTGAGAAATCGGACATAGATAATAAACGATCAGCAATTTCAATAAACAGCACCCTTTGTATCGTTCTTTGATATAATTCCTTTTGCATGTGTTTATGCAAGTCAAAGTCAAATTTAAAGTTCCATACAAACATTCAAAATATAAGTGGCAATACCGTATGCTTCTCGAGCGTAGAAAAATATCTCAATCGTCACAATGAGAGGGTTGACGTCACACACATATGGAGATGTAAACATAACATGGCTTGCTTCATTTTCTTTAGAGTTACCACTAAATATTTTCGGTTACGAATCTTTTGGTCTCCACTCTTCAGCATAAGAGTCTACTGTTTATATTATGGTCAACATACCTTTAAGACTTATACTGACTACGGCAGTATCATAAGCTAGTAGTAATGTACGAATGATCAAGTCCGCTATACATATCCCACAACGTGTAGCTCATTATTCCTAGGAGATGGGTCATTCGGAAACAGACCCGATCTTGCTCTTAAAGACATTAGGATTGTGATAAGTTAGACATGTTGAAATTTCAAATCTTGAAAAGCTTCACTGCCACAGGAGCAAATCAGGTTAGAGATATATTGTATATCTTATATTATGGTGACATGGAACAAAATACAGTTTCCCGTTGAATGTATTGTAACCTAACTAAATGATATGTATTATATACAGTTATGATTAGTAGTATGCAACAGTGGAGATATGCTTTGTGTAATTTCAAGGCCACATTCATGTATTGTTCGCTCACAATGGTCGAGGCGACGGCAGGATTTACTCAGTTACTGTGTTCTAGTATTATGCACGCCATGATTCTGGGCAGAATATTGTACGAATCAGGGGCTTTTTGTTCTTATCCTCACTTAAATTCCGATATCAGAAAGTCATTAAAATTGTGTAGCATGAAGAATCCTATGTCCTGTACATACATGCAATAAATTGTACAAATGCATGTTGGCACCCATGAACAAGATGGAGTGAATGTCAAAAGACGTTCAATATCATAAACATTTCTCGATTTATATCTAGTTCATATTTTCACATAACTGACAAAGTGTAGTTATTACCTGAAACGTCTTACTTCACACAAGAAATCACGATACCACCTACATTATAAATATTTGAATTTTGACATGACAGTTCCAGTTGAGGCACAGGTGGTCAAGACGCCACAATTGGAAGAAGATAGTTGCGCCCCTTTGCCGGATTTGTCCTCGTTGTGTTTCTTTTCTGTCAGCACGATACCCTTGCTCATTGGCTCCACGAAAGTGGTAAACGAGAGAGATCTACATCATTTCGGGCTCCCTTCTTCATCAAGCAGACACACCGCGATATAACTGATTTGTTCAAAGCTACGCTTAACCGAATTTTGTAACTCGTTTTATTTACCAGCATGCACTTCTTGGTATTACGGAAGCAACTGTGGACAACGCTGTGATGCACGTCACTGCAAGATGGCCTCCAGCTGTGACGTACAAGGACAATGTGTCGGTGGATGTGCAGCTGGATATGAAGGAACAGACTGTATTCAAGGTAATAGTCAACACATCAGATCGCATGACAGGGTACAGGATACGCTTACTATAGTTTATATGTACTGCAATAACAAGGTGGCTTGTAATCCTGATTAAGATTATGATATGACAGTTTAATTTTCTAACATCCACATCTGGGTATTATGGATCCAACAGTGGCAACCGCTGTGATGCTCGTCACAGCAAGTCTGACTGTAGCTGCGACTAATTGTGCATCATTACAGTCAGATGACTGTCTTCAGATTTGCTGACTCAGTATGTTTAGGGAGGGTATGTGCGTGTATGTTATCTAAGCCGAAGTCAAAGAGTTGGCATTTATAGGCATTTCGGAAGCAATGGTGATGTGTCTGCTTCCAGTTTTGTATGCAAATTTCAAGCTGGAAGATAATTTTGATTAAGACTAAACTTATGATTCGACTATTTATATTTCTAGCATGTGGTTATGGAACCAACTGTAACCAACGCTGTGATACCCCTTTACAGAATTAAAGAAGTTGTATTCCATACATTGTATCCAGATTTCATTTTGGGTAATATGACATAGACAATTGTTGATCCGCACATTCAATAAACAGGACCCTTTGTATTGTTCTTTGATATAATTCCTTATGCATGTGGTTATGCAAGTAAAAGTCACACTGGTGAAATGTGTGGTTAAAACATACCGTATCACTGCTGAATTAACCAGTCTAGATTTGATAATTATAACAATAGGTTTAACTACGACTTAATTCGGAACAGTAAAAGAGACAACTGTAGCAAGAACTGAAACTCCCATCACTGCCTCTACATGAGCGACTCCTAATTCAGCAGTGTTTGCCATCGCATGTAATAAATTGAACATCTTATGTTATGGTGACATGAAACAAAACACAGTTTCCCGTTGTATTTAAACCTTCACCAAATGATATGTATTATATTAATGTATGTTTATTAGTATGCAACAGTCTCTCCAACAGGAGATATGCTTTTTGTGTAATTTCAAGGCAGATACCACATTCATGTATTGTTCGCTCACAATGGCCAAGGCGACGTTAGGATTACTCTGTTATTATGTTCTAATATTATGCACGCTATGATTATCAGTGGCTTTTGTATTCTTTATATTCTTTAGCATGAAGAATGCTTTATTCCGTACATTTGATACATGCGATAAAATGTAAAAATGCATGGTAGCGCCAATAAACTAATGGATAATTCAAAGCCTTGTCGTTGTAGCCGGTCATCCGATGAAAACGTGATAGAGTAAATGTCAAAAAACGTTCAGTATCAGTGACCTTCCTGATTCATATCTAATTAATATTTTTACATAATTGACAAAGTGGAGTTATTGCGAGACACATCTTACATCACTTAAGAAATCTCAATACCACCTACATTATAAATATTTGGGTTTTGACATGACAGTTCCAGTTGAGGCACAGGTGGTCAAGTCGTCTGAGACGCCACAATTGGATGTAGGTAGTTGCACCCCTTTGCCAGATTTGTCCTCACTGTGTTTCCAGGTCTGTCAGCACCACACCTGAGGTTATTGGCTCCACGACAGTGGTAAACGTGTGAGACCTACATCACTTCGGGCTTCCTCCCGCATCGTGCAGACACACCGTGATGTAACTGATTTGTTCAAAACTATGCTCAACTGAAGGTTTTCATTCATTTTATTTACCAGGATGCACTTCTGAGTATTACGGAAGCAACTGTGGACAACGCTGTGTTGCACGTCACTGCATGATGGCCTCCAGCTGTGATGGACAAGGACAATGTGTCGGTGGATGTGCGGCTGGATATCAAGGAGCAGACTGTATTCAAGGTAATAGTTAACACATCATATCGCATGACGGATGCGGGATACACTTACTATAGTTTGTATGTACTGCAATAATAAGCTGGCTGGTAATCGTGATTAAGATTATGAGATGACAGTTTAATTTTCTAGCATGCACATCTGGGTATTATGGAACCAACTGTTGGCAACGCTGTGCTGCTCGTCACTGCAAATCAGATTTCAGCTGTGACGTCATACAGGGACAATGTGTCGATGGATGTGCGGCTGGATATAAAGGAACAGACTGTCTTCAAGGTAATAGTCAACACAAAATCGTAAGATGGGTGCGACCGCTTTGGCGGGATACACTTACTATTTCTCGAAGACCTGGTATCATCCCTGCTTGATGTAGTCGGAATCGTACAATGGGCTTTGCATTTAGTAGAGATTTCTTATGTTTATGGAAACGTTTTTGTTGCTGTTATTAACACAACCTACTTATTCAGTTGCTTTTATTTAACTGATTCAGCGACTGTGTTGTTCTATATTGCCTTCACACTTTCACTGTTCCATTTTTTCGCGTATAAACTCAACACCAGGTTTCAAATGTTCCGACCTTGATCACAGATAATTCACATTATGCAAGAAGTCGTGTGCGGGTACTTTTTTTCAGTATTATAATTAGAGAGACAAATAAATATGATGAAACGTAGACGTTTGGTCATTCATGAAAGTAATACATGGACTCTCTTGGTAAGTAACATAATGGCTGTAAATATGCTTGTTCTTTGCCAACAACTGGCATCACATCGTGAGTAAAGGTTCGTGAATTCTTTTCTATTTTCTTTGTGTAAATTGATACAGTGTCACGGAACACCTCAGTTACCAGCATCAACTTTGACTGAAGGACAGATGTACTTCCGGTTGCGTGTACTTGCTGCACTATGTGATGTGGTATATTAAAACAACTCGTACTGATCAACATGATAAATCAGGATCTCCAAGAACGATTTGAAATCTGATTCTGTTGGTATGCGTTTCTTGAGTGGTCTGTGCAATAACAGTTGCTTGGAGAAAACGATTGCGGAAATGTGACGTTACAGTATAGCGGTCTTGAGTTGGTGTTGTTACCCATTGACGTCAACTTCTCGGACGATCAGTTGTTATTCCAGTTGCATTGTAACGCTTCCTCAGACGTTGTATTGTCTTCCCATACGCACCAACTTGTAATGCAACGTCAGCAGTACGCATGCCTGAGTGCAACATTCCGATGGCTGCCACGAACATTATTGGGGATTCTTGACATTTGTTTTAAAGGTAATCGTGTGAAAAAGAATGTGTTTACGGTGTTTTCTCGTGTGTCAATAAACGTCAATGATAACTAGTCACGCTACCATTCACGCATACGACATGTAACTTGTGCGACGCACGTTCGTTTTGCCTGTTTTTAGGAATGTGGCTGTAACGTTTGATAATGCTAAATTAACTGTGCGGGTTTGATACCCGAACACGCTTGTCTGATCTACCGACTAAGTTATTGCAGACAAAATTAAGACATATAGTTCAGTTAACTCATTTTAAATATTGGACATTTCCTTTTTGGTTCAGTATATGAGATAGGTTTTCGAAAGTGTATTTGTCAATGGACGATAATAATACATTAATCGTATATCTAGCAGCATAGGTATAATATACTGAACCAAATTAAAAACTTCACAAACTTCAAATTTTAACATTTTGACCATTTATCATTGTGGGGCCCTTATTGTGTATTTAAACAGTAATGGTCATGTATTGTCTTCAGATAACACCCATTTTTGTGCAGGTGAATCGATCAAAATTATGTGCACAGCACTATAGTGGCAAAAGTGTTTTTTCACTTGGAACTGGTCACGTGGCCATAAAACCGCACGTGTTTTCAGCCATCCTTGTTAGCAGTCATTAACAAAAGAAGAAAAACATAAGAAAACAAAAGTCTTTACGGCCATTTGTCATGACGGCCCTCGGCCAGGTCGACCACGTGTGACGTCACATGCAGAGGATCGTCAGATTGTCTTACGTCACCTCTGTAACCGATTTTTGACGGCTACATCAACCAGAAATGAACTGTTTAGGGGTAGACTAAGTGCGCAAACTGTTCGAAACCGTCTGAGAACTGCTCACCTTCAAGTACGACGGCCATACTGCGGGCCGATTCTGACTCAATTACACAGACGTCAACGTCAATTGTGGGCACAGTGACACTTACGATGGACTCAGAGGAATTGGAATCAAGTCGTCTTCAGTGATGAATCCCGATTTAATCTTCGATTTGCTGATGGTAGGGCGAGGGTTTGGAGGCGCTGTCATGAACGTTACGCCTAGTGTTGTGTACAGGAAGTTGAAAGATTTCGAGGCGACAATGTCATGGTGCGGGGTGCTTTCTGTGGCAATGCACGTTCCAGGCTTCTTGTCATCCGTGGCAACCTCAACGCTGCTGCTTACAGCGACCAGGTACTGGCACCAGAACTTCTGCCTTTTATGGCAGCACATGGACCCGGTTTTATCTTCAAACACGACAATACCAGACCCCACACAGCAATTTTGACAAGGAATTTCCTTCAGAATGCGGGAGTCAACGTCATGGACTGGCCGTCAAGGTCTCCCGACCTCAATCCCATCGAACACGTCTGGGATGCTCTTGGCAGAAGTCTGCGCACTCTCCAGAACCAACCACAGAATTTGCAAGATCTTGGCATCATTTTGCAGCAACAATGGCGTCGACTTCCCAATCATGTGTTCACAAGCATCACGAGGTCCATGCGGAGTTGTCAACGCACATTGTGACCATACACGCTACTGAACTTGTGTGCCATCAGATTCTCGTGCTTGGCACTTATGATTTAAACTGTTGATGTTATTACCGAATACCATAGGTGCTTGTAACAAATTATGGTTACCACCGTTAATTAAAATCCTTCTTTGGACATTAATGATTAAAAATTACCTTCTCTGATACATTTGTCCGTTGTATATCATATATGGGATTACTTTTAAAAATGTGAAGTTTTTAATTTGACTCAGTATATGTTGGTGCTATATATTGGGCGCTAAAATCATCATATGTTTCACAGATCAAAATAAAATGATATTCATCTTCCAAACAGTTCTCTTTACAAAAAAACACATATGCTATCTTCTCTCTTTTCTTTAGTAAACCTTCCTGATTCAATTATTTTGCCATAGGAACTGCATCTAAACTGTGCCATTGCGTTTCTAAATTTATGGTTGGTTGGTTTGTTGTTTTGTGGTCGGATTGCACTCAGCAATATTCCAGCTATATGACGGCGGTCTGTAAATAATCGAGCCTGGACCAGACAATCCAGTGATTGATATCACGAGCATCCATCCACGCAATAGGGATCGATGATATGTTTCAACCAAGTCAGCGAGCCTGACCACCCAATCCCGTTAGTCGCCTCTTACGACAAGCAAAGTCGCCTTTTACGGCAAGCATGGTTTCGAAATTTATGACATGTAAGTCCTTGGATATAGTATTCGATGATGATGTTAAATTTATAAGTAATGAGTAATCATATTATTTTATATTGTTCTATCAGTTGACGCCCCATGCAGACCATTTATAGCCACATTTTCTTCCTTTCTTTATTGTTCCTATTTTTCAATTTTTATTCTCTTCTGGTCTGTACTTAAGTGTCGTCAAAACTGTTTCGTCACCATGTCTTTCTTCTAGTTTGCCAATCCTTGATACACCATCATCTAAGCCGCATGATGTCAACATTTGAATACAAATGTTCCATATCTGACCTGATTGCCTTTAAAGAGTCATTGATACTCATGGTCTCAGTTCTCAATTCCATGACGTTTAATTTCACAGATTTAATTTTGTCGAGCAACTCTCGCTGCATCGTAAACTTTTCAGGAGTGTGACCAACAGGGCCAGGAATAGTTTCAACATCGCCACAGATACCACAGATACATCTTCGGGAGTCGTTGTTTACTTGTTCAAAGTTGTCAGACATCTGCCCGGGAAGCCCATGCAATACGCTATCTGCATGTATATCCTGACGTGGTGGCTTAACATTGCAGAAGACCAGAAGGAACATTCAATAAAAACAACCCTTTGTTTTGTTCTTTGATATAATTCCTTATGCATGTGGTTATGCAAGTCAAAGTCACACTGGTGAAATGTGTGGTTAAAACATACCGTATCACTACTGAATTAACAAGTCTAGATTTGATAATTATAACAATAGGTTAAACTACGACTTAATTCGGAACAGTGAAAGTAATTGTTATTTGACTCAACCAGTTATATAACTGATCATTTATTGCAGCATGTACGCCTGGACTTTATGGAGACAACTGTAGCAAGAACTGTAACTCCCGTCACTGCCTCTACAGGAGCAACTCCTGTCCACCTGACACAGGGGCATGTCCAAGTTGGTCAGGGTGCCAACAAGGGTGGACAGGACCAGACTGTACAAGTGCGTTTTTGACGTGGATGTATCACATAGCCCTGCTCTAAAGTCATGTTTCGCACTCATCGTTTCAGTTAAAAAGTCTAAACATGCATCACTGCAGACACCAATATTTAAATAACAACATGTAGACTGGCAGGCTAACGAATACGAACATTCAAAGTATATGTGGCAATACTTTGTGCTTCACGACCGTAGCAAAATAGCTTTATCGTCACAATGAGAGGGATGACGTCACACAAATCGTTAGATCTAAACATTACAAGGATTGCTTCATTTTCTTTAAAGTTACCACTTTATGTTCTCGGTTACAAATATGTTTGGTCGCCACTTCACAGCACAAGTGTCTTCTGTGTATATTGTGGTCAACATACCTTTAAGACTTGTACTGACTACGGCAGTTTCAGCAGCCAGTAGTAATGTAAGAATGATCATGTCCGTTAAACATAGCCGTCAACATCTAGCTCTATGTTCCAAGGAGTGGGGTCATTGGAAACAGAGGGTGATGTCACATACCCTATCTTGTACTTAAAGACATTAGGATCGTGATAAGTCACCACTGAAATTTTCAAGCTTCAATTGTTTCACTGGTACAGGTGAAAAGCAGGTTAGAGATGTATAGAGGATACTATATGAGTGTTCATGTCATGCTATGTTTTCGACATGAGTGTCTAAATTCCGATATTTCCCGAGAGGTAGCGTCAGCACGTTCGTCCTGTACAACAATGCCGTCCGAATGACGGAGACAATACACTGTTGCCTCGTGATGTGATATGACCCAAGGACACATATGATTTTTAGGAACCCCGCTATGTTTGCCATCGCAGGTAATAAATTGAACATCTTATGTTATGGTGACATGAAACAAAACACAGTTTCCCGTTGTATTTTAACCTTCACCAAATGATATGTATTATATTAATGTATGTTTATTAGTATGCAACAGTCTCTCCAACAGGAAATATGCTTTGTGTAATTTCAAGGCAGATACCACATTCATGTATTGTTCGCTCACAATGGTCGAGGCGACGTTAGGATTACTCTGTTATTATGTTCTAATATTATGCACGCTATGATTTTCAGTGGCTTTTATATTCTTATCCTCACTTAAATTCTGATATCAGAAATTCATTCAAACCATTTAGCATGAAGAATGCTATATTCCGTACATTTGATACATGCAATAAGATGTAAAAAGGCATGATAGCTCTAATAAACAAATGGATAATTCAAATTCATGTAAAGCCTTGTCGTTTTAGCCGGTCATCCGATGAAAACGTGATAGCATCAAAAAAAGCTCAGTATCAGTGACCTTCCTGATTCATATCTAATTAATATTTTTACATAATTGACAAAGTGGAGTTATTGCCTGACACGTCTTACGTCACTTTAGAAATCACGATACCACCTACATTATAAATATTTGGGTTTTGACATGACAGTTCCAGTTGAGGCACAGGTGGTCAAGTCGTCTGAGACGCCACAATTGGATGTAGGTAGTTGCACCCCTTTACCAGATTTGTCCTCACTGTGTTTCCAGGTCTGTCAGCACCACACCTATGGTCATTGGCTCCACGACAGTGGTAAACGTGTGAGACCTACATCACTTCGGGCTTCCTCCCGCATCGTGCAGACACACCGTGATGTAACTGATTTGTTCAAAACTACGCTCAACTGAAGTTTTTCATTCATTTTATTTACCAGCATGCACTTCTGGGTATTACGGGAGCAGCTGTGGACAACGCTGTGATGCACGTCAGTGCAAGGTGGCCTCCAGCTGTGATGGACAAGGACAATGTGTCGGTGGATGTGCGGCTGGATATCAAGGAGCAGACTGCATTCAAGGTAATAGTCAACACATCAGATCGCATGACGGGTGCAGGATACGCTTACTATAGTTTGTATGTACTGCGATAACAAGCTGGCTGGTAATCGTGATTAAGATTATGATATGGTAGTGTAATTTTCTAGAATGCACATCTGGGTATTATGGAACCAACTGTTGGCAACGCTGTGATGCTCGTCACTGCAAGTCAGATTTCAGCTGTGACGTCATACAAGGACAATGTGTTGATGGATGTGCGGCTGGATATAGAGGAACAGACTGTCTTCAAGGTAATAGTCAACACAAGATCGTATGACGGGTGCGACCGCTTTGGCGGGATACACTTACTATTTCTCGAAGACCTGGTATCATCCCTACTTGATGTAGTCGGAATCGTACAATGGGCTTTGCATTTAAGAGAGATTTCGTATGTCTATGGAAACGTTTTTGTTGCTGTTATTAACACAACCTACTTATTCAGTTGCTTTTATTTAACTGATTCAGCGACTGTGTTGTTCTATATTGCCTTCACACTTTCACTGTTCTATTTTTTCGCGTATAAACTCAACACCAGGTTTCAAATGTTCCGACCTTGATCACAGATAATTCACATTATGCAAGAAGTCGTGTGCGGGTACTTTTTTCAGTATTATAATTAGAGAGACAAATAAATATGATGAAACGTAGACGTTCTGTCATTCATGAAAGTAATACATGGACTCTCTTGGTAAGTAGCATGATGGCTGTAAATATGCTTGTTCTTTGCCAACAACTGGCATCACATCGTGAGTAAAGGTTCGTGAATTCTTTTCTATTTTCTTTGTGTAAATTGATACAGTGTCACGGAACACCTCGTGTGTCAATAGACGTTAATGATAACTAGTCACGCTACCATTCACGCATACGACATGTAACTTGTGCGACGCACGTTAGTTTTGCCTGTTTTTAGGAATGTGGCTGTAACGTTTGATAATGCTAAATTAACTGTGCGGGTTTGATACCCGAACACGCTTGTCTGATCTACCGACTAAGTTATTGCAGACAAAATTAAGAAATCTCCAAGAATTAATCCCTGTTTGGACAAAATATTTCTCTTATTCAATAGCATAATTAGATTTTGAAATATGCATCTGAGACATTTGTACTTGAAACTTTTTTATTGACGTTTCACATGAATATTATTAAGATAGGAATATTCAACACTTAGTAAATTTTAAAGTATGTCGTGTTATAGTTCTTGCAAGATGGACAGAGCTTTGGTTTAAACATTTTTCATTCAGTTTAGGATAAGATGTTAAAGTACGCCGATTATAGATGAAGGGCATAGGTTAGCTGATTATTAATTTCAGTCTGTGGTTCTGGGAGTTATGGAGAACGATGCAGCAAGGACTGTCGCAACCGTCACTGTAAGACACCATCTGCAAAATGTAATCACATCACTGGGGTGTGTACTGATGGCTGTGAAAGTGGTTACAAGGGAGAAGACTGTATGCAAAGTATGTGTATTCCCTTGTGATTGATTAACGAATTAACTTGATGCGTGTTGTGTCTAATAAACATGTGTGACAGTTAATTTAAACAGGAAAGTAGATAGGTAGCACACTTGGATTTATCAAAGGATGACAGCATCTGACATAGAATTGCTTCTTGAGCTGGATGCACGGAAGTCCTTGTGACAGCTTTCGTCGAGTTGGGGGGCATATTTCTGTTTCACAACATAGACTCAAATCAAGAAATTAATATTAAGTATCTTCACAAAAAACAACAACATCGCAACATATATATTTCGTTTCATTGTCATTTCTATACAGCCACCCAAAGTCGAAAACAAGTGATTTTAGGGCAACTTTAAAGTATGTGTTTGAAGCAAGAACTATGACTATGTTTATATGTTTTTACAATCTGTTTGTGATTGACATAAAGCTTATGAATATGCAAATCGGTGTATACATGCTGTCAATCAAAATTTAAAATGTAGCCTGAAACACATAAGTTAGATAATAATTAATTTCAGTCTGTGGTTCTGGGAGTTATGGAGAAGAATGCAGCAAGGACTGCCGCAACCGTCACTGTAAGACACCATCTGCAAAATGTAATCACATCACTGGGGTGTGTTCTGATGGCTGTGAAAGTGGTTATACGGGAGAAGACTGTATGCAAAGTATGTGTATTCTCTTGTGATTGATTAACGAGTTAACTTAATGCATTTCATAATTGCCTTCTTTCATATGGGGAAGAAATTCATAAATATCTGAATATTTCTAAAAATGTTGTAACATATGATATCAAGCAATTTACGGATGGTACAAAAACAGTTATTTTCCAAACTGAGTGACAATCCGTATCTTCAGGTTCTTAATCCATACTTTTAATGATCTTTTGATAACTGGATGGTCAACTCTGTGGACTTTAGAAGTCTTTACAAGTCTATACACTCTTCAAACGTAAACTGGGGCGGTCGGGTAGCCTAGTGGTTAAAGCGTTCGCTCGTCACGCCGAAGACCCGGGTTCGATTCTCGACATTGGTACAATGTGTGAAGCTCATTTGTGGTGTCCCCCGCCGAGATATTGCTGGAATATTGCTAAAAGCGGCGTAAAACCATACTCGCTCGTTCATTTATACGTAAATTTCACTCCTATCTGATACAGCATGTACCCGGGGGATGTACGGCCCTGACTGTGCCCGAGAATGCAGTTCCCGACATTGTAAGCCACCCTCCTCTACATGTGACAGAGTGACAGGACAGTGTCCTGGTGGGTGTGAAGATGGGTGGACAGAGATAGACTGCACTAGAAGTAGGTTAAAAGGCACCATTATTTTAACAGTTTCAAAAGAAAATTCTTATGACATAAGAAAAGTTGTGTAACAGTCTTGTGAGTAGTACATCATTACGGCAGAGTATTTCCGTGAAAAGTAAGGCAAGGCCATTTACTTTATCTGTACTAAAGTCCAAACAATGAATATGTCTGATTCATATCTATAACCACAGAGTTATTCAGCGCAGGATATGCGTGCATGTTGTAGGCGAAACTTGTTCCAAATTATAGATTATCCCTCAGCCAGGAATACCCCAAAATGCTTCAAAATGGTCCAACGTCTTTTCCCTCCACTGAAAGGATGATGATACGTGAAAGTTATTTGGGCGCGGTTGAAACTAAAGAAGCACAAATAAGGTTCCAATATATTGTTAAAAAATATATAATGATAAGGAATCATAGGATTCAAGGTACACTAATAACATTGGAATTCCAAAACATAGGATGTAAAGAGTTTAGTATGCCCATTTTCTTTTAGACTGTGTTGGTGGCCTTTATGGAAATAACTGCTCTCGGAAATGTGCTGAGAGACATTGTACTAGTACGTCCTGTCTTGGTGATGGAGCATGCAGTGCTGGATGTGATGTGGGGTGGACACTGCAGGACTGCACACAAGGTACCATTCAATTTTCTGACACCAAAGTGACATACATATATTATATATACAAAAATTACTTCTGCCATCTATTATAAACCAATCATTCAACAAGAAAGTACATCTAACCTTTAATTGTCACAAGATGAGGATACAAAGTAAACGATAAAACTGCGGTACACAGTAACCTTTTTTAGAATGGTTCAAGGCAATTTGGAAAGACATTGGCAATACTTTTTCCTGAAAATGTTCGTGGCTTCGTGATTTTGTCGGAATCATAGAATTATTAACATTAATTAAATAAATAAATTAATCATAGAATCGTCACTGCTTTTAGCGATTGGGAAACGATGACATGCATCAACCAAGTCAGCCACCCAATACCATTAGTCGCCTCTCGCGACAAGCATGGAAAAGTGAAAGTAAGAAAGCAAAAGCAACAGCTGTTGCTACTGGAAGGGCACCCGACTATTTAGAAATTGAATGGTCAATTTTAGATACATGAAAGCTCTGAGCATTTTATGCATAAATCACCAGTCACAGATCAATTACATGGGCATTTATTTGAAATGTGAGCCTCTAGATACTTTGGTTGTAAAATGACATTCTACGTGAATATCAGGGGCCGACCATTTCTTATTCAAGATAACTTCCAGCCCAAACATAAATTGTATGTTTGGCTTGCTGGATGTTTAAGGAAAAGATGAGTTTTGAAAGTAATAATGTCTGTTTCTCACTTCACAAAAAAATGCTTTAAGGCAGTGACGAAAAATATATCCCGATTCTTACATAAATTACAGTCCCAGTCACCCTCTTCCCTCCTCCACGTCCTCGAACATGATTGATCGGTCCCTCGGTGTTGATTTGTTAAGATAGGACTATTATTTGCTCTGTGTTATTCCAAACAGTGTGCCCCAGTGGAAAGTATGGCATCAACTGTGAATCAACCTGCGGTCACTGTGCTGATAACAACACATGTCATCACGTCTCTGGGGCCTGTCCAGGTGAATGCCAGGCAGGGTGGCAACTTGACCTGTGTCAGACAGGTGAGTGTGCACAATCTATATGCAACAACTGCACTTAACCTCAAGTAAACCATATAATGATGTGAAAACAAATATGATCTACCGTGTTTGCCTTTTGCACAGGAAGCAAAGTAGGAACGCTTGGTAGAACCTCAAGTCACCCCAAATAAAGGTTTAGAATGTCAGATCCACACTTGTGAGTAATATGAACAATCAAAATCGTGTCATGTAGTATGCATCTACATTGAATAGAACTATTCATTTTCGATTTTAGGGTGTGACAATGGGACGTACGGAGTGAACTGTGAGCAGATCTGCGGCCACTGTAACGGGACATGTGATGCTGTTGATGGAAGATGTCTCTGGGGATGTGCTGAGGGATACAATGGTTCTCACTGCTCAGTGAAGCTTGGTAAGTTATCTCATACAGCTCACATAAGGTCTGACCCTTAGGTATCTGTAAATGGGGCACCAGGAATCAATGATAGTCCTTATACTATTGTTGCGTAAATGTTAGTCTGTATGTTGCGAACCATGCATTACTTATTATATAATATGAAATACAATATTCGACATTATTACTCTTTATACTTGTCAGCAATGTCAATCATTGTGCATATGTATCTCTTCGTAGTAGTTTGATGATTAAGGATGTGATAAGACTCAACTATCTCACGTAAAAGCATTGGTGAACATCAAGGCTTCATCTGAATCACCGGCCTCTCAATATATGGGGAAAGCTACCGGTAAAGGGACCACATGGTCGATCACCATTTAGGAGGTATCAGCTAAAATACAGAGTATGTTAAAAAATGTATGATTTTTTCAATATTCTATATGAGTGATAAAGACTTACGTATGTTACATATGGACTGTACTTATTATGAAATCTCTCCATTAAAGCTTTTAAAAATGAAATTGTTTAGAGGTATCATAAAGGTACCGCAAAGTCGAACGCACAGGTATGCAGCATAAAGTGAACACAGAGACCCTGCAGAAGACGTAGGGAAAGCTATATTTTAAGTTCGCTTCATCGGGCACCTTTCACCATTCCCTATCATTTCGGTCAATGATACATGTTTGTGATGCGAAAAAAGTTTGTTTTAGTAATAATTACTCCAAAGTCATCTATCTCTCAAACAGTGAAGTCAGGAATAATTAAAAAACATTAAAAAAGTATCTGCCTGTATGAGAAACGTGTAAATTTAGCGATTATATTATTGATGGTGAGAGTTTGGGTGGTATTCCAGACTGACGATGGATAATGGGAATCCAGCTTCTTGACTTCAGCTTAATAATGAAATGATTAAACATGATTAAATATTTATCCTTTTAATTGCATACTCATATTAAATGCATCCTTTTTATTGACAACTGAATTATGCAATTAAAAAGCGTGGTTGTCGTAAGAGGAGACTAACAGGATCGGTGGTAAGGCTCGCTGACTTGGTTTGATGCATGTCATCGTTTCCCAGTTGCGTGGGGATCGATGTCCATGATATCAGCCACTGGCTTGTCTGGTCTAGACTCGATTATTTACAGACCGCCGTCATATAGCTGGAACATTGCTGAGTGCGGCGTAAAAAACAAACAAAACTGCATATAAATTTGCGAGTATAATGGTTTATTATTTGGAGTTGATTACTTTAATAAAAAACTGATGGTCTTAGGTATAAAGGGACCACTTCTACCATTACGCATGAGCGCGTTGTGTGAGATATATGAAGATGAGCACACGGAAACGTCCTAACTATCATTGTTTTATGGCAAAATGAAAACAATGTTTTCTCACTGAAACAAATTTCTCAAATTCTGATGACATCATTCTTTGACAAAGCATTACGCCTTAAAGCTATTTAGTTCATTTGTTTTCGAGGGATGGTATTTTAGATTTTGAACCCACGTGGTACCTTTACCGGCTTCCCCATATACTCCCCACTGCACTTGCTTGCGCCCTCGCCCTGTTTATATACCGCCACATATAATTCATTAACCATTAAAACGTCTCTGCAGCTCATGTCCGAAATTTTAGATTGTACATTAATTCCCTAGATACATGTTGTACACATTTACAGCTTCTCTAAACGGACAAGACAAATCCGAGTTGTTTCCCGTGTCAGCTGTTGCGGGAACAGCTGCAGGTCTACTTGTTGCGGCTTTCCTCATTATTATTGTGGTCCTTGTCATCAGGTAATTTCTGACAATATCATGTACACCAGCTAAGTGTGACTCCATATGTATGTACATTCAGCACACGACTACCTGTCGCACACTAAACGTCAAACCATACCTGGATACAGTGTCAATTCGGTCTAGATTTCAGCTTTTAAACAATGGTAAATGGTTCATCCCGTAAATGGGATTCGAAACCCATGCATCTTTTGGACTACGTATATTTATTTTCCTTAATAGATATATTTTTCACCTCCGATGCTAGAACCGTGTGCTGTGTTTATGTAAGTGCCGTGTGTGGTCTGTTTATGGTTGTAACGTGTTTTTTGTTTATTTTAGTCCCATGTGTTGTGTTCATGCTGATATCGATTGTTCTGTTTATGTTAGTCCTGTGTGTTTTGTTTATATTAGTCCCGTGTGCTTTTTTTATGTTAGTCCCATGTGTTTTGTTTATGTTAGTCCCGTGTGCTTTGTTTATGTTAGTCCATGTGTTTTCTCTGTGTTAGTAAAAATTGTTTGTTTATGCAAGTCCTGTGTGTTTTGTTTTTGTTAGTTCCATGTGTTTGATCTATGCTAGTACCGTGTGTGTTGTTTATGTAAGTCCCATGTGTTTTGTCTATGTTAGTAACGATTGTTTGTTACGTAGTAGTGTGTGGTTTGTTTATGCTCGTACCATTCTGATGTCACAGGAAGAGGAGGCTTCACCAAGGTGACATCAACAAACACGTTGCAGAGTTTCATCCTACAGCACAAGGTGAGAACACTAAGACGACACAGTAGGAAACCATTTAGTCAACCACGTCTGTTTTATTTCATATTTTGTTTTATGGAAACAAGTGTTAGAAAATATTATTAAAGTTTCAAATGTGTGTACGTGAATGCAGGATTTGCCCTAGTTGTAGAGCTTAGGATAAGAATTGTGACTGTTGTTTTAGGTCGTTTGTAACATATAAATATACGCCTTGAGGTAAACTATAATTTTAGGAAATCCAGGCAAAGTAAATACAAAAATCGTATTGGTTCAGGCACGTACTTATTTTGCTTTTCTTAGCTACAGTTCTATTCTGTGTCCTGTGATAAAACAAGCTTATAACTTTCATTACAACAGTGAGTATTCAATACAGATCCCAACCCAAAGTAAAATGCATGCACTGTATGCTTTCCATTGCTGTAGAGAACGGCGCTGTTGGTAACGTGGTTCTAGATGAGAACAAAGCAGTCCACCAGAAGCCACCAATAAAACCAAAACCTGCCACACACGCAGCATCAAGCAAACAGCTTAGTTCTAAAGACAAAGACCAGGAGGAAGAAGACGTTGATGAGGAAGTTCGATCACCTGACAGCTGTTACTACAACGCAGGCGCCGAGGACGCCATCCGAGACGTCGCTGTGCCTGAATTAGCTGCAACAGTGGCAATGCTTAAACAGAGGAAAGATGGATTTGAAAGAGAATATAACGTGAGTCGTAGATAGTGCTTCACAGGGGGAACACCGTTGTATTATTGTATCACATTGCTGGTACCGGGTGTTGTGTTTTATGTAAGTCCCTTGTATTTTCTTTATGTTAGTTCTGTGTGTTCGTGTATGTGTGAGATGTTTATGTTGACTCACAATCTGACTCTGCATAACAATATATGCTATCCGAGATCAGATTTCATATCTGAAATGTATTGTACTTACAGCGACTGCCCACTGGATTCACAGCGTCATATCAAGACTCTCAGAAACCCGAGAACAGTGGCAAAAATAAGTACAGAGGCTACTACCCCTGTGAGTAGAACTGAAATTGGTGACTTTACAAAAATATACGAGATGTGGTTATCAAGAGTTTAACTGACATTATTTTAAATTTCAGACGACCATAACCGAGTCCGCCTGACTCACCTACCAGGTACCCCTGGCTCTGACTACATCAACGCCAGTCTCATGCACGTATGTAATATTGTAATTATCTTGTCTTCTTTCATTTAGTGTCATGCCATGTTAACACTTTCATGGTTATATTTCAAATCTGTTTACTCCGGACATAGTCATCTTTGCGGAATCTCCCGGATTAGGGGTACTGAGAAATGTTCTCTTTGGTATGACAAAATCGTTCAGAAGGCGGGGTTTTGAGACTAATACGGCATACACAATACTAATACAGAAAATAGATGGCTGCATGGATTAAACTATCCAACTGCCCCGTTTCCTTAATTTCAGAGCTACAACCAGAGGAAGACTTACATAGCAGCTCAAGGTGAGATACAAGTACATGCATTTTGGCGTAGTGATTTTGAAAACGGTTGAATAATCTGTTGTTAGAACGAAATAACTGACACAGATGTGACCAGTACATCGTACTAATGCTATAATGTACGCACTTGTCTCACTGTGTATCAGACCGCCTCCGTGGTCTAATGGTAGAGCGTCCGCCCGGAGAGCGAAAGGTCCGGGGTTCGATCCCCGGCCGCGTCATGCCAAAAGACGTTAAAAGATGGTACTTGTTGCTACCCTGTCTGGCGCTCGGCATTAAGGGGCTAAAACAAGGACTGGTCGGCTCGGAGTCCGAATACTGTTTCTGAGTAGGATATTCATGTGAAACTGCGGCATGATATCTCAGTGTGCTAGAACTATAAATCAGCATCAGTCCGGACTAGTGCAAGCAGCCACACACACATACACGTGTATGCACGTCACTATATAAGTGCAATAATCTTGGACGCGACAATAATCCCCATTTACCCTCACCTCACTGTGTATTTAATGCATATCATTGGAAAAGTATCTGAGGGGATGTTTCAATCTTGTGATGATATAAGGAAAAATGGAAATTTGTACATCAAGCCAATAGCATACTCGTTGTTTCAATAACCCACCATTTAATGTGTCTAGCTCCCAACAAGAAGACAGTGGGAGACTTCTGGAGGATGATCTGGGAACATTCCTGCAGCACTGTGGTCATGTTGACTGGTCTCGTGGAGGAGACTAAGGTAGGATTTCATGATATGCAAATAAATAACGTCTCGATTAACCTACGAAACATTCAGGTCAAAAGGGAAAAAAACAGAGAAAAATATACGAATGGATCAATAACGATCTTGACTTCCAAAAACATGCAAGATTTCATTATAACTTTGTCTAATCACAGGAATGTACATTATGTCAATATAGACCAACTATTTCAAATTGTAGGTGAAATGTGAGCAGTATTGGCCGGCAGATGGTGTAATGGACGTTGGCCTCTTCACAGTAGAGGTGGAGGTAACACAAATCCGTGCGAACTTCACCATGAGACACATGAAAGTCACTTCAAGGGCAGTGAGTATTGGATCAAAACAGCCATTTCATGTGTTCACTAAATTACGTCGTGGTATAACTGGACAATATGCTGAAGTAGTCAACATCTGAAATCACATTGGCACACAGCAATTTGAATTAATAAGGTAGCTCAGCAAGTCAAACATATGACTGAAGTTTGTTTTTATGTATCACGAAATATAAAACACCTTCTGTCACAGACTGGAGAGAGTCGGACAGTTGTCCAGTTCCACTTTACATCCTGGCCTGACCACGGTGTCCCCGACACCCTCGCTCTCGTCAGCTACATCTGGCTTGTCCGACAGACAGTTGAAGGAATAAACGGACCACTGCTTGTCCACTGCAGGTAGGTAAACTTTAGTTACAAAGATAGCTAACCACTACTTGTCCGAAGTAGATAAAATAGGAGGACTAGAAATTGCGAAAAAATCCAACTTTAATCACTTCTTGATGATTACATCATTCACACTATTTTGTAAAATGTTCTGACATTACGACTGTGACATTCGAAAATTAAAGGATTGTAATTTTTGAAACCTCATTGTTCTGGACCCTGAAATACGCTGATCAATACTCTGTCGGTGAAATTGATTCATTAATCAATTTGGTAAATCCAGACAATTTATCTGGAATCAGTGTCGTCGTGGATAACACGTATCCACTGTAATATGTTCACATCACTGGTATATGGCTGGATAGAACAAATATCGTTGACGATTTGAGCTCAGACATTTGACAGTTTAAGTAAATACATGCATATTTATGGACTATTTCAGGGAGTACAGACACATATAAGTACATTATGGACTATTGCAGTGTGGGTATTGGGCAGAGATATGTATATTGTGGACTATTTCAGCGCGGGTATTGGACGTACAGGAACAGATATATACATTGTGGATTATTTCAGTGCGGGTATTGGACGTACAGGCACATACATCGCCGTTGACTCCCTGATAGACCAGGCCCGAGGGGAGGGGGTGGTGGATATCCTGGGGTACGTGTCCGTGATGAGGGGACAGAGGAAGAACATGATACAGACTGCGGTAAGTGGAAACAACAACTACATACCTTTGAAAGACACGTGAGTGTTGGTAGCAGGACACGCTGATCCTTTCCAAGAACACCTGGTGTCATCAGTATTTTTCACTGATCCATTCTTATTATGTCATCACTAGTTGGATTAGACCCAATGGAATCTGTTTCGGAAGATAATCGCGACTAAAGATTAAAGCGTACGTAAAAGGGTTTACTGGCTGAAAAGTGGTTGAAATAAACCTCTTATATCTTGTGTATTCTGCTATATATACCTATATACCCTTAGCAATAAATCCTTTTCAAACCCACTGTTGGACTCCGACTACATGATCAATTAGTGATGATACCAGGTATTCGCGAAAAGGTGAGGGTATCCTCCCCCGCCGGTTGCATCCGCCACAAACATTAAACATTGTTTATACTGTTTTACCGAAAACAAATGTCACGTCCAGATACTGAAAGAAACGGTCGTACAATATGTGCATAACCCAGCGAAACCCCGTCATAAACTGCCTGTACGTCAACGATAGGGTCTCGAACAATTATGTCATGATGATCTTCTGAGTTAAGTGTATATTTCTGATAACTGAAAATCGTTTATTATATCAGAATATATTCTGATTGTGTCAGTCATGAAACCATTTGAACTGAGGTTCTACTCCAATTAGTATGTTTTCGGAAAAAGGAAGTGAGTCGGAAGCATAATTTACTATCTCCTTAATTGAGCTGCAATGGCAGTAATTTCAGTTCAAAGTATTTAATGCAGTAAGAGTTTTTTCGAAACGGTTCATACCGACGTAAAACAACATCATGTGTTTTTTCTCAATCACAGGCCCAGTATGAATGTGTCTTCCACTGTCTGGTAGAGATGACGACATACGGCAGCAGCAGCATGGACGTCTCCAACTACACCAGCAGTTACGGCAGCAGCGGCATGGACACCACGGTTGATGGCCGGACTCTCAGACAGTTGTCACAGGTCAGTGTTGAAACGTATGTTTATTTGTTTGTTTTTTTCTTTAGCGCCGCACTATTACAGCTACATGACGGCGGTCTGTAAATAATCGAGTCTGGACCAAACAATCCAGTGATTTCCATTATATGTGTTAACCTGAAGAATGTCTTTGTCGCACACTTAAAACATGTAGCGAGAAACCTCGGAATAAGTGTAAATTGCTGGATGTGAAAGACATTTTGCACAGTGATAACTTGTGAATAAAATAATAACAAGGCAAAGACTCTTGGTCTCAAACACTCTCATCTGCGATTATACACATTCTACACAATATATACCTTCCCGTTGGGCTCCCATAATATTCAAGTAGGTCATATTTCAAATAATTTGTTATTCCACGGACACGGACAGAATTCCTTCTGACATACACATATACCTTCCTATTCCTACACGAAGGTGATATTCAACATTTCTTGGAATTGCAATTCTTATCTATTTCTTATGTTATATTGAGAGAATGAATTATTTTCCTTTTTATCTGTATGTTCACAGATGCTGGTGTCGGAGACCCGAGATGGTAAGTACACATGATTGTCAACATTGAATTTGATTCAAATATATGCATTGACGCTGATGATATGCTGTAAAATGAACATGCACTCTTTTCAACAACACAATCCACTCCTGACACGTCTAACGTGTCTACTAGTGACCCAAGAACATGTGCTTTCAGTTTCAGTTCCTATGGGCACGGAAGTGGACGTGTAGCAACATAGCTACATGTGTAAAAGTAGAAACGTTTGGGAAATTCCCTGTTCTAAAACATGCAATTCATTTTCCTGGATCAGTGAACTTAATATCCTTTACGCTGCAGTCAGTAGTAGTTCAGCTATATCACGGTATCCAGGCAACCTGTTGACTGAAAGCTTGAGAAGCGAACCATGTCATCGGGGATTCTGTACAAAGTCAACTTGAACCTATTCACGCCTTACGATCAGCATGGAAGATGAGTTCATCTCATGATCCCTGCATGATACTAAAGTGCCTAGGTTTCGTCAAATTAGAGGTTAAGTTGGTTAGTTGTAAAGTCGCCGTGAAGGAAACCATGAATAGATGAAGGTCTTTGACGATTTCCACTTTGGTGAGACCCTCACACTCGGCTACCATGAAGACAAAACAAGAAACATGATGAAGGCGAGTCTTGGATTTGAACCCACCGTCAGCAACGCCCTAGACGGCAGGACCACTTGTGATTGAAACGATTAACCAAACATGAAAATTGAAGATTTCATTATTGACTGTGCTTATTGAATAACCCACAACCTCCCCATCCATAACGTCGACGACAATCATAGCTAACTGAGATTTCTCTAGACCTGATGCTGAATGATGAGACTACATATTTATGTCCTCTGATATTCTGCTTGTACTGTAACATTTTGCAGATGCCCCTAACCGACACAGAATGTGGGTGGATGGTAACCCTGACTTCATTGTCCGTGTGGGGCCGGTAGGTGGACAATATATTAAATATCTTTTATTGCTCATAAAACTGTTTTAATAACACGTTTACAAGTATAATAAAGAATACCAAATTTACTGTTGAGATAGAAATTCTGATGAAACATCTGCAAGGGAAAACCACACAAACTGTTGCATCTCAATATAGCAGGTAGACTCCCTGTTAATATTACCACCCATGACACACATATCCATTCCTCCTTCCAGACCCTGACGTGCCTGAGGGGGTACCTGCAAGCCGCTGCCCCAGCCCCGAGATTAGTGAAGTTGTTGTGGAAACTGGTTGAAGAGAACAACGTCCACAACATCATCGTCGTCACGCCAAATGTATGCACATAAAATCTTTTGAAATAGTTAAAGAAGCTTGTTCTTCACACTTACGCATCGTGTTGTAGATTGATAGACCATAATTCCAAAGCATTTCATTCATGTTAGTAATATGTTCACCCCAAGCAGCTTTTTTACTACCTGGAGCCTGCTTGTTTGACAGCAGTGAGGTAATCCCGACTTCATGTCTGCACCACATGATATTGAAGTCTGCCTTTTGTTTGAAAAACATTCCTGGGTTAAATACTGACGTTTGTAACATGTCCTCCTTAGCCGGGCTTAGTGGAAGCAGAGGGCAAGTCCAAGACGCACGGTGGGATTACTGTGACGACAACGAGTCAAACCAACTTATCGCGGGACCTCTCCAAGATCAACTTGCAGCTTGCTACAAAAGTAAGAGTTTTTGGTCATTAGCTTACAGTATTAGAACAAATATATTCGCAATACAATCTTTTCTTGACTGACAAAATGCACCGAATAATATTAGTCGAGTCTCTTTAAGTATGCTCCTGTTAACTGAATACTTTCTTTGGTCACAGTATTTCTTTTCTCATCATCCTATGGCTCCTGATAACAAAACTCCTTCAAGCTGAAATTACGAGTAACAAAATGAACTGGCTCAAAACAATGTGCCACACATCAGCTGTACATGGACACATTTAACGTTTTTTTTAGAGACATCATATCTTGTACGTACAGTAGTTGTTGTGATCCCTACTCAAAAAATGTCACCACATACACCTTATAAACTAACTATACACATGTACATAAATCTGAGGAGCTTGCTATAATCCTGAAATGTAAATAAAAGCCATAAAACTATTTCCATAATCTTAAGAAAGCAGTGTCCATCGTACGATTCCGTGCAGTAAGTGACTTATCTCACGGTCATACTGTAACGATACCAGGTGTTGGCGAAAATATGGCATCTCCTGTGCATCGCAGAACGTCATTCTTTCTAGGCGAGTTTTGGGGATGTTTCAATCAACAACCATGGCGGTGAATATGTCTGTAAGTGCAATTGCACCAGTATATATGGGATTACATGACAATGCCAACATCATATGTGTGATAGGACAACAATATAAACAATAAATATGCATGCAAGTGAATGTTATTCTGTCTGGGGACAGTAGAGTGATATTATCTTGCAATATTTCATACGTGTCACACAGGCAGGCAGATCCCGGCAAGTGAAGATGGTCAACGCTGACGCCCACTTAACAATGGAAGCCATGACATCACATTTGTTGAACCACGCTGACCTTCAAAACACATCAACTCAGACCCACCCTGTTGTTGTTGTTCACAGGTGAGAATGTCTCCAGAATATTTGACACATTATCATTCAGCTTATTAGCCGAATATGTTCCCCATTGTAAGTATAATAGTCAAAGAAATCAATTTGTATGTTTCTATTCCTGATATATGTTATTTAGGATTGAAGCACATGCGGTTCAAGATCTCTTTGTTATTTTATTTCTTTCTTGAAATAATCGAAGTTAAATACATATTTTCATTCACTGATGCAAATTTGAAAACTATGTTAATACACAGATAGAGTAAATAACTTCCATGTATAGTGCTAAGTGAAGCCGATCCTTATTTGGTTACAGAAATACACACACTTCCGGAAACCTCCATATACTTTATTTGGGAATGATTGACTATGATTTATTGAGGAAGTGGGCGTGCCATCGATCTGTAGTGCACATCAAAAGTAGTTCCTGCTTGGCGACCTCTTGTGTAAATAAAGTGGGTCGTGATACGAAGTTTATATGCTTGGTTTATCGTATTGATAACACGATACATTATGTGATAAACACATTTACTGTTATGGATACATGACACAAAATATAACAGGAAACATGATATGTAACTATTTGAATTGCAGCAACAATGACCGAAAACTTGCTGTCTCGCTCTGCATCATGGGTAATATTCTGTCCGGTATTCGTGAGGATGCCCGTGTTGACGTCGTCGATCACGTGAGGACGTTCCTCCGATGTTGCCCAGATCTTCAGTTCACCCAGGTAGGGACACAGGAGTTTCCTCAGTTTGCCGATAAATTCTTTTTTTAAATAACATTTAATTCAATATGTCTTGGCATCATATTGGGTATATTATATGATTGGGTGATCAGCTTTGCTGTCTTGGTTGATGCATGTCATCCTATCCCAGTTGCGTAGATCGATGCGAATGATATCAATCACTTGACCTGTTCCAGGCTCAATTATTTACATAATGCCTCCATAAAGCTGGAATAATGCTGAGTGCGGCGTTAAACAACAAACAATCAAACCTTACATAAGGAAATCAGAATAGACATCAAGAAGCGGCCGGATTCAGAAGACTGGTCTCAGTCATCACTCACTACTGTCATTATTGATACTGAAGTGAAATTGTAGCATCATGTAGCACATGTAGTACCGAAACAGGAGCGTAGTACACCGTAGAAATTGCCAGCAGCAATGGGTTCGGCTGCAGCTGTGTGGAAGTTTGAACCGTAGCCGGCAGATCAACGTCAGCTGTTGACCAGAACTAGCCACAAGTTTTTTAAACTGGGCTTGTAGACTGTTATAAAACTTTGAGAACGTCTGTGGCCAGTAACGGATATTGAATTGATGCTTACCCCTGACTCAGACCCTGCGGTAGCCCTTAAACAGTGAGTTGTGTACCGATCGCGATGTCATAACCGTGACACCTGTACGGTCAGTTGTCTAATATAAGACAGAATCTGACCATTAATAATGCAATGTAAAACATTATAAACACAAAATATGGTTAGCTAAATGTTGAGTCTCTCATGAAAACTCTTTCAGTAATATGAATTTGTTTTCATTTTTCAGAGCGATGTGCAGATGTTCCACGACTTTGCGCAGCAGTGTATTCTGAGGACAGACCCAGCTAATACCTACGCCAACATCTGAACTTAACACCAAACAATCCAAAAGGACCACATTACATCAACTGTGCCAATATCTGAACTTACTACCACACCTTATGAACTTCATCTTGCCAACACCTATGTCATTGTCTCTGTATGTGTTTCCTTAGCTTTACACTCAACACCTGTAGCCTAATATGTGATGCGTGTATCATATACGAATATGTATTCTTCAATTCAACTTGTGGTAATCGTAAGGTGAAACTACCGTTACAGGTGGGAAACGAAGGAAGGGATATCCAGTGCTGTCGCGGTTATATAGGCTTCGTGCTATGCTCGCCCTACAAAATATATATGTTGTTTTCACATTATGTTTCGACAAGCATCATATTCATATACTGATAATATACACTTGCAATGGATTACGTGAAAGTATCAACTTCTTAATTACACAGAAGCGTATGCACCGTCTACTTATGCAGCACCTGAGGCAAATATGAATGTCACATAATTATTGCTTCTGAATAGTTTACTTATCATTGTAGTATACCCAGAGTGCGTCCTTATAATGTTAATATTGACTAGATAATATCTTGCTGACGTTTGATATACCACTGCAAGATGGTCAACTCCCAATCTTGTGAAACCGGAACGTATTTGCTCGTCGTCTTGGTCTAAGCAATTAGACGGTGGACCATGTGCTTTTCACGTTGTCTTATTGAATGCCTCAGTTATGTCTGAATTCTAATGTTCTTCCCAAAACGGTGCTAAGAGGTGTTAAGTTAGGACCCTGTAGGTCAAATAACACGCTAGTACATCCTATGCATATATATATCAATCGAAGCCTGGCATTATGGAGAAGGTACCGTGTGAAAAACGGAAATGTTCATGCTCTTAGTCGTGATACATACTGAAGGAAGTAGTTATGTTTTTGTACGAATTTAAAATGTCCACTGTATTTCTACGATCTAGCACTTTCTTTAGTTACACATATCAACCACATGTTACGTATTCGTGCTCTAGTAATGAAATGTGTGAAGCGCTGTGATATTGCTGGAATATTGCTAACAGCGGCGTCAAACTATTCTCACTTACTCTAGTAATAAACTGTATGCTATAAAAATGAATTGATATGATAATCAGAAAGCGAATCGAATGGTAAACAGAAAAAAACAAACATATATAAGGCAAGATAAAGTTCATCAATATATCAAACAGATATGCATGACCTATCCACTAAACAGTGAGTGAGTAAGTGAGTTTGGTTTTACGCCGCTTTTAACAATATTCTAGCAATATCACGGCGGGGGACACCAGAAATGGGCTTCACACATTGTACCAATGTCGGGATTCGAACCCGGGTCTTCGGCGTGACGAGCGAACGCTTTAACCACTAGGCTACCCGACCGCCCCCCACTAAACAGAGTAAAAGTTAACATGTGTTGCCTGACACAAAACTTGGAATGTATAGTACAGGTCAAACGAGGGAAATGGATTAGACATAATTTTGGTCAGTGACGCCTGAAAGTTGGCAATGTCCTCTACATGTCTGGCATAAAAATATTTTGAAAGATTAACTAATGCCTTGAATGGTGCAACCCTGATAAAATCATGTTTAAGGAAGAATCATATGATGTTTTTCAAAACCTTTGTAGAAAGAACTTTTTCGCTCGACTGTACATCAAACGTTGTGAAATGTTGACATCAAAGTCTGGAGCTGATGTAATATTGCTCGACGTAAAGGTGGAGCTGACCTCTGAGAAGTCACTCCTCTTCTCACAGCCTGGTTGGAGAGGAAGGGGCGGGATTACGGCCTGCATCGTATCACGTAGATTCGTGATGTAAGTACATAAATATGCAGACGCACGTCTGTCATGCAAGTGCGTCATAAAGCATGTACGTAATAAAATCGTACAGTCATGGACACATGCATGGACATTCCACCAAAACAATAAAGGTGATGCCTGTGTATTTTTGTATACTTTTACCCTTTCTTCCCGATTCTCAGTAAAAGACCTGCTATCTGGAAGATCTTAAACATTCGCGAGAACTGCTCGTGATCTGAAAGAGTTCGTCAGCTGGTTAGCATCTCTGGTATGATCTGTTAATATAACCCGTGAAGGAGATTCTGTACTAGCCGTGATTGGAACCAGTGGACATGTATATGTGTCTATGCAATATCCTCTTTTCATATGGTGATTATATGAACTCTCTTTTTTAATTCATTTACTTACATTTACAATTATAGACTATAATTTATTTAATATCTTTTTCTGTAACCAGCACTACTAATTATTTGAATTTGTATATTTGTTTTAATATCGTCGACAATAAAAACAATAAAACAAGAAACAATAAAAAAAGTTATTTAATATATATATTGCTTACATTTTTAATACAATTATAACAACGATGGGGAAACACTGTCGGGCACTGACATGTTAGAAGTTGTATTTCATGAAAATTTATTCATTTCAATTTGTTTATTTGTTTTCTTCCCTTCACTTTAGTCAAAAAACTTCATTAATTATATTCATTGCTCACATGTTTTGTATACAACTATATAGTGATGCCGTCAACGATCGTGAAGAACGATTGGGATAAGATGGGAATTTTTTTGGATGTGCAGTACGTAATATACCGTCACGATTTGTCAAACAGTCATTCAATGGGCGAGGAATACCGCGTATGAGTCTCACAATAGTGATTTGAGGGAGTTTGTCCCATTTCTACTTCAGCCAACGTGGTCGGCGGCTAAAGATGTTGACGCACACGTCCCGACGTGTTCAATTGATGAGGTGAGGTGAAATGGGGTTAACGTCGCGTCCAAGATGGATGTGCTAAATAAATTGGGACTGTGAAAACATGACACGTGACCAGTGACTATTACCCCAGTTTCGACGTTGTGTACACCTTTGTCGTCTGTTGGCAATATGGCAATTTGTAAGGGATGGTGCAGCGCGATGCCGTCGAGATGTAGCGGCATGTAGGCGATATCTATATCGTCTGAACCGTTACTCGTACTCCAGTAGCCTGATGAAAGTGTGCAGCATTTTGTTCGCCGTTTGAGCTCGATTTCGAAGAACTTGGTTTTGTCGTTGCCCTGGACCCTGGACGCCCTGAACGTGGTCGATCGTCAACTTTTTGGGTTTACTGGTGCCTGTTCGATATTATGCTAATCACAGGCTGTGAAACATTGAACGTATTGGCCACTGCAGGCTAACTATGTATACTGCCAGCGATCTGCATTCCAAAAGCCCGTAGATACTCAGTTCGTTGCAGACGACGCATCGCTAGTTCATACACAAAGAATGAATGAAATCAGGTAAATGCCAACTGTATGATAAGCAGAATCAATACGACTGACAGAAATAATTGTCCACTGAGATTATAACACCTAACTTGAAAATGTCAAAATCAGGAATGGCACCCTACGCCTGTGTGTGGAGCAACGGAGTGAGGTACTATAGAATGTGTGTTTGATGTTAGGTTGTACAGACATAAACGTTTTTGCATAGGATGTGTGTGGCCAACACTTATAGTTGTTCTTTTACGTGGAATTAATATTTGAATTTCATGATCCGCCGCTACTCTTTTTAAGAGCATAGTTACACATGTTCACAATGTTTATCATTTTCTTGTAAATCTATAAGTTTACTTCATTTTTTGTATCTATTTAACTTACACATATCTGACAAATACATCTTGAGGTTAGGTGAAACTGGGTGCAACGTCGCGTCCAAGATCACTGCACTTATACAGTATACAGTGTGGCTGCTTGTTCTAGTTCAGACTGATGCCGATTTATAGTGCTTGCTCACTGAGATACCATGCCGCAGTTGAACATGAATACCCCACTCAGTTCAGTTAACAGTGACTCTGAGCTGACCAGTCATTGTTTTGGCCCCTTAATGCCGAGTGCCAGACAGGGTAACAACACGTACCTTCTTTTAACGACTTTTGATATGACGCGGACGGGGATCAAAACCCGGACCTTCCGCTCTTCGGGCGGACGCTCTACGACAAGACCCCGGAGGCGGTCCAAATACATCTTGAACGTGTCAGATATCTGCTCAGTTATCAAAATATTCTGAAACAAAATTGTTGTACAACAAATTCACATTTAGTCATTTTTTTGTCTTAAAACTTATAGTACTGATAATTATATATGTTTTTCAATAACAAAACGAGAGGGGAAAGTAATTCTTAAATCAGAATTTCGGTGAGATCGGCATGAGCGCCGTCTCCCGTACGTGTTTCAGTCCATGAGCTATTACCATGAGCAGCAGAGGGCTAACTTCCTCCAACAACCGATTTACAACAAACAACATATGTATGCTGTGAGTAGAACATTTTTGACTAAATCGTGATTTTACTTTTCCTGCTCCTAATATACTTGTGTCAACAACAATCACAGGACAACAGCAAACCCGGATAGTACACAATCGTCACATTGAGAATTGATCCTTTAGCCTTTTTATGATCTTAATAGGTGCACGGGTGGCCCAGTCGTCTAAGGCGCCGCGATTCGCTGTGCAGGGTCGCGTCCCTTAGGCACGCCGGAAACCTATGATTGTGGGTTCGAATCCCGGTTCGCCCCGATTATGTTTCTAGGTTTGTCAGCACCATACCCGTGTTCGTGGGTTTCACCGAAGTGGTAAACGTCTGAGACCTGCATCACTTCGGGCTTTCCTCCCACATTAAGCTGACACGCCGTGATATGACTGGAATACTGTTAAAAAAGCGGCGTTAAACCAGACTCACTCACTCACTCATGCTCTTATACATCGAGCCACAAGCATGATATTTATCTGGGTTAAACATGTATTAAAATGAATGCATGTAAGTAAATGTATGATAGAAGCCTCCAGACGCCGGAAGTATTATCGCTGGTCTCCATTCAATGTGTAAATATTTCCCGAAAATGATTCGTATCTCACAATAGAAGTAAGGCTGCGCCAATAAAGAACAACACCGATGTTTCGCAGCAGTCGCTGCAAACATTATATAAATGGAAAGTGATACAGCTAGTACTAAATTGGGAATCAACAACGAAACTTTCGCATGTGAAACTAAATAATGAAACTATTCACTGGATTCACTCATTCAACTATGATATGAATGAAAATGAATGAAAGTAGTCACAGAACCGATGGCAATAGATGATACACAGATATTCTTGTACAGATATCCCGAGTTCTGATATAGATAATAAACGTGTATGCCTCCTTACTATCAAACGCCCCAGTCTATTGTTTTGTGCACATGTTATGCGTGCTGACATCTATGAACTTTAATTACCATTACCTTATATCTTAAATGTCAATAATGCCCATGTCAGGGCATATTTTAACACTCATGCGCAATCAGATTTGCAACAGGTTTGGGTCGTGAACCAAAATTGTTACAAAATTGTTACTTATTTCCCCTCAACTACATATTCGTGAACGTCCTATCGCACCTAACGAGAATGGGTACAGCAATCTTCATGCACGAGTGTCAGACACGTGCTGAATAACATTATAGAGCACTACAGAAAGCTGTTGACAATGATCATTTTTTTAGTCACTCAGTCGTTTATAGCGTAAATTTTTAACACCCCACCCCACCCCCGTCATATAATGCGGGGGGATACAGTTATCAACTGGTCTGTCTTTCTGTCCGTCCGCCCGTTCGTCGGTGTATCGTTTCTGCAGCATAACTTGAAAACCGCGAAATATATTTCATCCGAGTTTGGTAGATGTTTTAATCAGGGGCTGAAGTGGTACCTTTTGTAAATTACGAATTTTCCAAAATTCGTTTCCCCAGGTTTCCATGGAAACAAGTTAATGTTACCTGAAACGGAGATAGGTGTCGTTCCCGAGTACTAACACCTATTCAACATTTTCCATCCAAGCAATTAAAAAGCATTTCGAAAAAATCAAACAAGAATTCGACAAAACAGATAACAGTTTTTCGTGAAACATGTTGACACTATTATTTCATGAAGTAGTATTTTTTCCTTTTCACATACCTGTATCCGTGGTATAAGGGCATGTTGTATGCAGGGTGCTACAGTCAAATATCGTCAACAGTCTGAATCCTACATTTCATTACTACAATTTTCATGATGGTATGTTGACGAGAAACTCGGGCAAGAATTAGGTGTTGTGCCCTCGCTTACTGTACAGGCTCCGACACAAATAATCAGAATCCACAGTCATGCAACATTCCCTATGCGATCGCATATGCAGGAACGGGTTAATCTCTATGGGCACAATTACGTTCTCATTATAATCTTCGTAACCTGTCAGGTTTACATGGGTTAACGCTGCTGTGTATTCCGGGCCTTTGTCGTTGTGACCTCAATATGTATTCAGAGAGGGAAGTTCAGCTCTGCATATGATCTCCAGTCAAGTGGAGACTGAAACAGCAATATACTTCCTTGTGTACTAGCTTACTGTGATGCGGTATTATCGGCGTCTACTCCTGTATAAAATCGTACACATACTCCTCGGTGTATATGAATGGATTCATGTTGCAGAAACAATGTGACATCGACAAAACATGACTAATGTCAAAGTAAGTTGAAGTAATGTTTTATAAGTAGAGTGTGACAAGAAAATACAACCCCCAATTTACTTGCAAATCACAAGCTTTTATGTCCGTGTCAACCCAAATGACTAACGGGTATGAAAACAACTGCTTCAGTGTTTGAGAGAGAAGGTAAAGTGAATTATATCACGGTGCTTGTAAACTGTGTGAGCGATAGAACGCCTACATTGTCCAGGGTTTGTGATAATATTTGTCATTGTCAGGCTTGACTTACAGGTACATGTATATCACATAACAACTCGCCCATTGTGGTGGGAGAAACGTATAAACTTCTCAGATAGATATATATGTCGGTACTTTTGTTTCTGTTTGAACCATTACATTCTTGACCTAAGAACTTATACGATTGACACTGGTACCACCATACCCGTGCTCGTGGGTTTCACCGAAGTGGTAAACGTCTTAGACCTGCATCACTTCGGGCTTTCCTCCCACATTAAGCTGACACGCCGTGATATAACTGGAATAGTGTTAAAAGCGGCGTTAAACCCAACTCACTCACTCACGTTTTTGTCAAACATAACTCCGTTCATGATGCCCGCAATTTGGATTCGATGACATGCATCAACCATGCATCCCGTTAGTGGCCTCTTACGACAAGCATAGTCGCCCATTATAGCAAGCATTTTGTAGCAATTATATACTGAAGACCTATCCTACCCCGGATCTTCACGTGTCTAATATACAAACGGTCTCAGACCAAATACACTTGCAATAAACTACTTTAACAATGTACTACATTGACTAGTTCACTTTGTTATGGATCATAGTTGAAAGTTGGTCAGGTTTAGAACTTTTTCATCAGCCCCCATAATTCGTTTATTGTCACAATATCATTATGTGTTATATCCTATATCCTTCCCGTTAATTAAGAAATGAAGCGTTCGCTCGTCACGCCGAAGACACGGGTTTGATTCCCGACATGGGTACAATGTTTG